GCTCCTCAGGGCAAGGCCACCTGTGCCCGTCTGGCCGAGGAGACCTGCCATGCCAGGACGAGGCGATGTGGTGAGCTGGGGGTCGTGCCAGGGCTAGGGTGTTGGGGGGGGACCGCATTTCTGGTGTGGGGCCAGGGTCACATCTCTCCCTCTACACCCACAGAGCTGCACTCCTATGCCCAGACCTTGGTGGATCTCTTGCATCAGGCTGGGGACTTCATCAGAAACCAGTTTGACTTCTCCTTCCTCACCCGTACTCTGCCCCAGCTCCTGGGCAAGATCTACGGGCACTTCTTCCCTCCCCGTGTCCGCAGGGAAGCCCCAGGTACTGTCCCAGGCTGGACCACCCCATGCCCACTTGGGGTCCCCTCAGTCTCCCCTGTGCTGGTGGCTGGAGCACCAGCAGCCTGCCCTGGCTTCCCAACAGGGCTCCTCTATCCTTTGTCCTGTCCTTTTCTCATTCCCACAGGCCTGGCTGTGGCAGGGACCCAATCCAGCCCCACAGCAGTGGGACCCCAGAGACCCCTCAGCAGGTGAGGCATGGTGGGCCATGGGATGAGGGCTAAAGAGATGGTGGTGGGCACTGACATGGCATTTTGGGGACAGCCTGGGATCCTGTTCCTGCTGCTGTGAGGGCACTCCCCCAGGGTGCCCAGGTGGGGTGCAGAGGGTGGCACTGCCCACCCAGTCTGAGCTCCCCCCATTGTGCTTCCAGGTGGGGGGGCAGGCAGCTGCCCCCCTTTGCAGAGCTTTTTGGGGTAGTGGGACCCCAGCTGCAGGACTGGGTGGAGGCCCTGAGGACTGCGGCAGGGGGCAGCCACCTGGTGACAGCATGGGACAGGGAGCAGCTCTCCGGGGAGATGCAGCTCTTCCTGCAGGTATGTGGGGAGGAACTTCCTGCAGGCAAGGGGACCCCAGTCCTCTTGTGTCTGGGCCACCAGGGACCAAACCCCTTCAGTTCCCGTGTGCCCCCTCCTGGCATTCCTTGGGTCCATTGTTCTCTGTGCAGCTGCAGAAGTGGCATCTCTCACTTTGCCACCAGAGAATGGGCATCTCACCCTCCTCAAATAAACCAGTGCTCCGAGTCCAGCCAGTGCAGAGCCAGCCATGGCTCTGGCCCTGCAGCTTAGGGTCTGACCCAACACAGCCACAAAGCACTTGCATGTCACCAGTGCCCTGTCTGACACCAGCACACCCATGCCCTGCACTCTGCCCCCGTGCACGTGGCTGTGCCCACGGGTGCCCTGTGGGTGCCCCATCACCCATCCTGTCCCACTCTTCCCTTCTTCAGGGTGAGGATGTGGTGGAGGAGATGGTAGCACAGGGACGAGCCTTCCTCACCCAGCTGCGGGCAGAGATGGAACTTGGCACCACCCTGGAAGCCATGGAGCCACAATGGGCATCTGGAGAGCTGGCAGGGACCCCTGTGCCAAGCCATGAACCCCGTGAGCCTGAAGGGACTGGGAGCAATGGGGCAGCAGGGTGTCCATCCACCCACCGGCTCTGTGCCCGGCCAGTGCCCACTGGCGTTTTACACCTCTCTCGGTGGCAGGGAGGGAGAAACGGGAACTGGTGCCCACAGAACTGCCCAGGGTGGAGGAGGAAGAGGAGGAGGAGGGAGTCATGGGCAGAGGTAAGCTCTCACAGATACTATGGGGTGCAAGTATCCATGGGAACGGTGACAAGCCCAGCCTTGCGCCCCTGTCTCAGGGCCGTCCCATTTCAGTAGGACAGTCCTTGCCATATTCCCCCCCTCTGCCCATGCTCCCCTGGTGTCCCCAGGGCAAGGGTGCTCCTCCCTGTGGTGGCCAGCAGCACGGTGCCCCCACCATTGACCCCTGATGTCCCCTCCATGTCTGTGCAGCCTGCCCTGGCCTCAACGCGTCGGCGGCGCGGGTGGGCGCAGTGCGGGACCTGTACGCTTGGGTGCTGCGTGTGCCCGAGGCACAGCTGGCCATGACCTTCCAAGAGGTGAGTGCCACACACCCTGGCAGCCAGGCAGTGCCATCCCCCCAGGCAGTGCCACTGTCCCGCTCTGCCCAGGCTCCCCTGGGCCTCATGGTGCTGTTGTCTCCCCACAGATCCTGGTGGACTTGGGCTCCAAAAACACCAAGGGACTGTACCGGGCACAGGTTCGGGCCACTGTGGGGGGCCGCCCCACGGCCTTCACTGGCCTTGTGGGGCTGGACAGTGACACACTGGCCCGTAGTATGCCTGGCCTCGTTGCTCTGGCACTTGAAGCGTTGAAAACCTAAAGGGGCAGTGTGCTGGCATGGGGAAAGGGCACTGGGGCAGGTATCCTTTGTGTCCTTCAAACACACTCCACTCCCAGTCTTAGGCTCTTCCACCCCTTTCTCCCCAGTTGTACCTCAGTCTCTCTTCCCACCAGCACTTCCTTACTTCCCCAGGGCAAAGGGGCCCTGGCGGGTACCTGAAGCATCTCAGCCAGGAATCACAGTCCTCCTCTCCCCTGGAACCCCCACCTTGGCAAGCCCACCCTCACCCATCTTCCCCAGAGGCATCTGAGCTGTTATTTATTTGTACAGAGAAGTTTTATTTTTCAATAAAGAAGGGCTCTATTTTTCAGTAGCTGGTGAATGTGAAGCAAGTGCTGTGCCAGACAGTGCTGGTGAACTGGGTGACAGTGGAGGCACTTTTCAGGGGGGCTATGATATCCCATAGCATCCCCCTCCCTATCCCTCTTGTACCGTGAAGTGATGCCTCCAGCCTTGGTTCCTGTTGTGCCCATCCTGGCAGAGACTCCCCAGCCCCTTCCCCAGGGGTCAGACACCCTCCTGTCCCTGCAGCACCCACAGCACAGCACTGATGCTCATCCTGGTGACACCCTCCAGGACCCACATGAAACCACCCAATGCAGGGGCCGAGTGCGCCCGGGGTCAGTGGTCAGTGGTGGGTGCCAGCCCTGTGCTTGGGCATCAGTGTGGATCATGCTGTGGGGACCCTGCCACTCCGAGCAGCATCACTGGGACTGCTGAGCAGCCGGGCAGGGATGGCTGTCCCCTGTGCCCAGCAGTGCCTGTGCTGCGGTGCCCAGGCTCAGGGTGACACCGTGGGGCCAGCAGGGGCAGCTGTGCCTGCCCATCTCCCCTTCCCTGCACGTGGGGAGCCGGAAGAGAGGCGCTGGAGCAGCTCTCTGGTGCCGGCACCCTTCCCCCTCAGCACCTGGCACCATCCATCTCCCAGCCCTCCGGCAGCCGGACATCCGCTCAGCCGGGCCAGGCAGGGGAGCAGCCAGGGCCTGGCACGGCGTGAGGGCACCGCGGGCACGGCATGGGGAGCCTGCTGCAGCAGCTGGCCCTGCTCGGGGCACTGATGCTGTTGGGTGAGCAGGGGCTGGGTCGTGGGGTGCCCTGCTGCTCTGCTGCATGGAGTGCCCAGGGGGTTATGGGCCCCCTCGATGGGGTTGGTGGGCGATGATGGTGGCAGGGCCCAAACTGGGCACCAGGGTCCCCAGGGCTGCATTTTGGGTATTACCTGGCAGAGTCTGCTCACGGCGTGTCCTTTGTGCTTCTTTCCTGGCTGTGCCTCCCAGAGCCATGTCCCTACCCCAGATATGTGCTCTCAGTGCACCGTGTCATTGTGTCCATGTGTCCCTGTGTCTGTCTGTGCCGAATCTATCACCTCGTGTCCCTGCACACTCTGGGTCTGTGTCCATGAGTCCACGTGTGCTCTGGGTGTACAGCCCTGATGGGCACAGTTCCACCATGTCTGTATCCAAATGTCTTGTGTCTGTGTCCCTCTCTGTGTTGGGTTTGTGTCTGTGTGTCCCTCTGTGTCTGTGCCCACGTCCTTGTCCCGTGTGACCATGTGTGACCATGTGCTCCCACGTCTGTCATTCCTGCACGTCCATGTCTGTTCTCCCATGCAGCACAGGCATGCAGTGTCCTGGCCTTTTCCTCTCCCCTCTATTCTTACACCACCTTGCCCTTGCTGAGCATCCCTAGGGCCCAGTAACCCCTGAGCCCCCTGGTTTGCCTGACCCCACACCCCCAGGTGGGCTCTGTGTGAACCACGAGGAGCGGCTCATCCACCACCTGTTTGAGGAGAGGGGCTATGACAAGGAGCTGCGCCCCGTGGTCTCCACTGACGAGGTTGTGGACGTCTACCTGGCCCTCACCCTCTCCAACCTAATCTCACTGGTGAGCCCCGGTAGGCAGGGCCCACTGTGGGGTGTTCCCCAGCTGTGCCTCACCCCTAGGGCTGGTTGCGTGGGGGGGAACCCTGAGGCTGCTGTCCCAGCCCGGGCTGGTGAGGGTTGGGGGTCCTGGGCTGGGGGGACACCCTGGCATCTCACTGCTCCATGTTGCTGTTTGCAGAAAGAGGTGGACGAGACGCTCACCACCAACGTATGGCTCGAGCACGTGAGTAGGGACAGGTGCCACAGCATCAGTTGTGCCACCATGGGGTGGCCCAGCATGGTGAGGGGGTGACCTGAGGATCTTCCCCTCCAGGGCTGGACCGATTACCGCCTGCAGTGGAACAAGTCTGAGTTTGGGGGCGTTGAGGTGCTCCGCCTGCCGCCAGACATGCTGTGGCTGCCGGAGATAGTCCTGGAGAACAAGTGAGCTGTGCCTTAATTTCCCCTCCCAATCCTTCTGAACTGTTCCCAGTGCATATCCAGGACTCCCCGGGCCCCTTCCCAGCCGTGCCATAACCTTGTGTCCCTGCTGGCACAGCAATGATGGGCTCTTCGAGGTCGCCTACTACTGCAACCTCCTCATCTATGACACGGGCTACGTCTACTGGCTGCCCCCTGCCATCTTCCGCAGCACCTGCCTCATCAACGTGGACTTCTTCCCCTTCGACTGGCAGAACTGCTCCCTCAGATTCAGGTGCTGCTGGCTGGGTCAGGGCAGCAGTGTGGCTGTGTCATGCTGCTGCCAGCGTCTCCCCTTGCTGTTGAGGGGCAGCAAGGTGGGAGTCTGTAGGTGACTTGGTGGCCTAAGTCCACCATGCTGGAGGTCAGGGTGGGTTGGGTGGTGGGTACCCAGCATTCCCTCACTGTCTGACCCCCTGGCTGTGGTCCAGGTCGCTGGCATACAGTGCCCTGGAGATCAATATACACTTGAAGACGGACAGTGACCCGGACACAGGGAGGTCTTACCCAGTGGAGTGGATCATCATCGACCCCGAAGGCTTCACAGGTAATGCTGGTGCTCTCTGCCATGTCCTGTGGCAGTGGGACGCCTGTAAATGTCAGGGGCAGGGGGGGCATTCTGGAGTGGGGGCACACTGCCATGGAGAAACTTCACTACCTGGGGCTTTGGCATCCTGGCACTCTTTCCACCTTGGAATGCTATCCACACCCTGAGGGGGGAGATGGTGCTAGGGGACCTGGTGAGGACAGCCATGGCCGGTGTCCCCCATGCTGTGTGCTGTCCCCTGTGCCCTGGCAGAGAATGGGGAATGGGAAATCATCCACCGCCCAGCCCGCAAGAATGTCTACCCTGACATCCCCCTGGACACCAGTGAGCACCAGGACATCACTTTCTACCTCATCATCAAACGCAAGCCGCTCTTCTACGTCATCAACATCGTCATACCCTGCATCCTCATCGCCTTCATGGTCATCCTCGTCTTCTACCTGCCCGCTGACAGTGAGTGAGCCCTGTGGCACGTGTGCCAGTAATGGGAGTCACATCCATGGGCACCTCTGTGCCCCACACGTGCACCAGGCAACACCCCAATGCCCAACATGAGAATATCCTAGAACTGGAATATCCCCAGTAGAACACCATCACCCCAGCCAGGCATCCTGGCAGAGATGCACTTGGGCACAGGATATCCCATATGGGACCCATAACAGAAAACTCCTTATGGGGCACTGTGTCATGGGACACTGGAAGGGCAGCCCTGGCACTGGGGACTCGGCCAGAGGTACCTGGGGCAAGGTTTGCCCTGAGCTTACCTGTTCTCCAGGTGGTGAGAAGATGACCCTGGTAATCTCAGTGCTCCTCGCCCAGTCTGTCTTCCTCCTGCTGATCTCCCAGCGCCTGCCTGCCACTTCCCACGCCATCCCCCTCATCGGCAAGTGAGTCCTGGGCACCACTGAGTGCAGCGGGGACATTGTGGAGTCCCTTGGTGCCAGCTCTGCCTGTGCCCAGACCCTGCAGCAATACCGCTCCAAGACCATGCTCCCTATCAGGTACCTGCTTTTTATCATGCTTCTGGTGACAGCCGTGGTGATCATCTCCGTCGTGGTCCTCAACTTCCACTTCCGCACCCCCAGCACGCACATCATGTCTGACTGGGTCAGAGAGGTGAGCGGGATGTGGGCTGGGGTGGGCGCAATGTGGGGTGCAAGGGTCACACTGTACCCCACAGAGGGCACGGGACAGCAGAGCCCTGGCATTGCACTCCAGATGGAGTTTGTGGGCACAAAGTGGGGACAAGGCAGCAACACACTGGGGAGGCGGCCAAGGGACATGACACTCCCTCCTGTGTCCCAGGTCTTCCTGGAGAGCCTGCCCCGGCTGCTGGGCATGGCACAGCCGAGTGAGAGCCCGCCGAGCGCCCCCTGCATCCGGCGCTGCAGCTCGGCCGGCTACATCGCCAAGGCAGAGGAATACTTCAGCGTCAAGTCCCGCAGCGAGCTCATGTTCGAGAAGCAGTCGGAGCGGCACGGGCTCACCAGCCGCATCACCCCGGCCCGTGAGCCACGGCCCCTCGGCGGGGACAGGGGAAGGGTGGCAGGGCTGGGTCTCGGAGGTTGGCAGCCCTTTGGGGCCCATCCCACCGCCCCTTCTCTCATCCCCAGGCTTGGTGCCGCTGGGCGTGGACTCAGGCGAGGAGCAGCCCTACGAGCACCTCAAACCCGTCATCGACAATGCCAACTACATTGTCAAGCACATGAGGGATGAAAACAGCTACAATGAGGTGGGGACGTGGGCACTGGGAGGGCAGGGGAGCTCCCTGTGCCCCCTGTGCCCCTGCACTGCCGGCTCCTGGCTCTCTCCACAGGAGATCGACAACTGGAACTGCGTGGCCCGGACCCTGGACCGCCTGTGCTTCTTCCTCATCACTCCCACGCTGGTGGTGGGCACCCTCTGGATCTTCCTCATGGGCATCTACAACCACCCACCACCACTGCCCTTTGCTGGAGACCCCTACGACTACCGGGAGGAGAACAAGCGCTTCATCTAGGGGGCCGTGGGGATCCCATGTGCCAGCCTCTCCCCCACCTGCCTTGGTTTGGGAAAATAAAGCTTCTTGCCATGGGGCACTGAACTGGTGGCTGCCCTCAGTGCGCCCCAATGGGCACGATGCCCAACCTGACCACTGTGTGTGTCCTGGGAGGGTGATGCCCACCCAGGGAATGGGGCTGGGGAGGTGGAAAGAATGCCAGGATGCCAAAGTTATTGGATGTCCTGAATGTGGTGGACCCCAGCTGTGTCCAGAAGGGGTATGGTGGTACTGGCCCTGCTACCCCGGTGGGCTGGGCCCTTGGGGCGGGATGGGCTGGGGAAGGAGTGGGGCCCCCCAGCATGGCACCATCCCCTGCAGACCCACTGCAGCTGGCAGAGATGCCATCAGTGCCCACATTTCTACCCTGCCCCCATGATCCCCCA